TCCGTGGTTCGAACCCGACCTCTGTCTCTCGACTTCCCCTGTCTAGGCCTGGGAAACCTGGCAGTACCTCAGCCCTCGTGCAACCTTCGGGCGGCACGGCAGTTAGGCACCGGAAGAGTGCTACAGCTGAACGACTTGAATACAAGGCTTACACTTCTACAAGACAAATGGCTGTTGAGCCTCGAGAAGGTTCCGAAGCTATAAAGCGAGCTACTGACGAGGAGATCAGCATTTGATTTATCTTCTATAGCTTTGAACAGTTTGATAATGTCTCAGTTTTCTAGTTTCCTTGAGGTTGAACAACGGCTATTACGGAAATCTTATCAGCCGAAAGAATGGATTTGATATGAACGTGTCTGTTGAAACTCGAACTAGTCAAGTCTATTCCGCCTGACCTCCCCTCGTAAGATAACTTCCATAGGGGCTTCCACGCTACTTTCAGCAACACTTGAGTGCTCAAAACGGACGTATAAATAGGCCTCGCGATATCATATTGTGGTAAATGTGATAACCACCGCGTACCTGTATTATCATTTTAAAATGCATCATTGTAAGTAAGAATGAACTGACGAATAAGACATGCCAGCGGAATGTGAAACCGGGACTGAAGAAAATAACATGACATTAGAATAGTGATGATAACATCCACAAGTAACAGACGGGGGGCAGATGTTGCAAGTGGTTAGAGCGCGAATTTACTGACCAGAAGGTCCGTAGTTCGCACCCGACCTCTGCCTCTCGACTTCACCTGTCTGGGCTTGGGTAACCTGGTAGTGTATCAGCCCTCGTGCTCACCCCGGGTGGCATGGCAGCTAGGCACCGGGTGTTGCACTGAACGACTCGACAAGTACCAGACTGCACGTTTGGTTAAAACATGGATAGGGGGCGTGACAGCTCCCAAAGTGGCATTTCATGTTGAGTGTTTCATAAGCATTGCACGGCTGAATGTTCCGTATACGAAGCTCTCCATTTCGCATCGAAGCGGAGTTGGGTCACAGCAGATGATCTGTGTTCAGTCCAATCTGAGGACGTCGGAATCCTGGGTTTGTTATTATAGCTCGTCTACTCACAAAAAAGCTTTTCCTGACAAGACAGGCGATTACTGGTTAAGGAAGAAACTGAAGGATGTAGACTCATGTCTGAGAGGTGGAACACTTTTGTTGCAGCTAAGCGCCTCACTTGGTCAGCATACTGTGGTAATTTGTTAGGAAAACGTTTCCTTTTGTTTCGTGATATCAGTGTATTCGACTATCCAGTCTGTAATCTCAATATCAGTTCAATCGAAAACGGCCAGGCATATAAGTGTATATCGAGTGCGGTATAATGCAAGCACCATTGTAAAACAGTTGAGAGAATGGTTACAATGTTTGATTCCATGAGAATAAACAGAAAGCATAAAAGTCCAACAGTTCAAGAGTGCTGAATAACCACTCTCCTAGAAATTGTCGTCGTAAGTACATCAGTCAGAAATCTGCTGAAGTTACCATTATTGGGCCAATACTACTATCGGCTTTCACTTTCTACCTGGACTGTCTAGCTAAGTTTAGTGTGCGATTGTAAGCTGGGTAAGTGTTAGGTAACATCCTTAAACAACGCTTGGTCAATTCAGCTGATTGTGTCTTACTTCGGTCCAATGCTCACATATGTTTATTTCATTGCTGATGTAGGGTGCAAGAACCCTGGGCTTGACCATTTTCTGTATGGACATGGGACTTTTTACTCTTTCTACACCTCAGTAGGACACCATCTCGTCATGATTTTGATGACTGAGTGTCAGTGTTTACTACTGATGGTTGTGGTAGTAGTTGATGATGACGATAATCTGATAAGTCCCATGTTTGGTCAAATGCCCAGTGGATTGTGCTTATCAAGGCTGACCAACATCCTTCGAGATGGTTAATCTCATGGCTTATTTCGTACAAAAGTTGTGAGAGGACGTCTGGCTATCCAAAAGTACATAACCAGTTGAGCGTCTGAAATGGTGTACGCACTTCAGTTCAAGTGGCGCAGTACTTCTCACTGCTGATTTCTCGCTGTCATTACAAATTACACTTTATAAGAGTTTGTACGTCCGATTAAATGTAGTTCTGGGAGAAGTCAAAACGAAGCAAGACATATGACGGTCACAAAATGCGCAGTAAAACCTTACCGGAGCAATTCAAATATAAATTCCAGCGGTTCTGGTTTCATCATCAACTCATCCAAATCCGGATAGCCGAGACCACCTTGTTCTTGCAAGCTCATCAGGCCACAACAATGCTTGACCGCGTGGCCCTTTTTGTCCAACATATAGTCCCGCAGCTTCTTGTTTACTGCCGGAAAGGCAAGTAAACGTTCCGGTGGCACAAGAAACGAAGCTACTTCGCCAGGTAGCATGGTTCCCAAGCAATGCTCCCAGAACTTTAAACAAAGAACAAGGTGGAACAATGACCACCTGAATTAGCAAGAGCCAATTTCGGTGAATGCACAACATTCTGTTAGCGTGTTTTTTTTAAAAAAAAAACAACTGACAATGGCAACAGTCCGAATCAATGGAAACGCACCAGCTGACAGTTTGCACACGTTCAAAGATTACAAATTACCGTTGAGCTTATGAAAATTGCTAACACTGAGAAGGCAGAGGGCAAGCTAGCTTCTTGGAATTGAAGAACAGTATAAGCCAGACATATATTCGAAGCTAGCCTGAATTTCCCGTCCACAAAAATTTGCCAGGGAAATGAACTATAAATAAGGGGTGATGTTGAACCACTTTGATGAGCAGTTTACAGAGGAAAAGTGATTACACAGTGTGGGACCTCTTGCCAGTAAAAGTGCAGAACAAGCAAACAAAGTAATGTTCAGGATGGATTCCAAAATACTGCGTTTGGAGAAGCTAAAGTTATAAAACTTCGGGAAAAGTGGGTGGTGCAGTGTTGTCTCCAAATCCCGTTATCTAGGGGAGAAGGGAAAGACTAGACCGGTAGTTGGGTGAAGATGGCTTGTATAACAGGTGGCGTGTGAAACGACTTTAAGTTTGTAGAAGCGGTTCAACTGAAGCCATCATGGAAGAACGTTTGCCAAGATAATAATGAGGTGACTAGGGAACGAGACGGTGGAGCGAACGATCCCTTTTGGATTCGTTCCAAAATCAAATGGCCAGACATAGACCTTGAACGGGATGACAATATGCGAAATTAGAGCAAATCTGAAGTTTATCGACCAGAAGCTAAGGATGCGTAAGGTACTCAAACGACATGAACATAAACTAACACTTATAAGCATCGTCAGCGAATGCACGGAAACTGGAAAGCACACCGAGAATAGACTGTCCTCAAATAACAAAAATAGAGTGGCAGAGAAGTTGGGGCCTTGTTAAACCCCCGTGTTGATATTGTGAACACGAATTAACCAGTCTCTCAAAAGTTCTATAGTCCGTGTGCTCTACCTCAGATAAAAGATAATCGTTCATCTGTAACAGCCTTTCGGTACCTAACTGCCAGGCCACCCAAAGAAAGGAGAGGGCTGCCAAGTTGCCCCAGCCTAGACAGGGCAAGTCGAGAGACAGAGGTCGAATTCGGTCGGTAAATTCGTGCTCTAACCACTGAGCCATCTCGAACGCTCCACTAGAACACCCATGCCACACGGGATCAAACGCCTCGCAGGTGACAAGAGATTACTTCCGCTCCACCATAAGCTTTCGGCGAGGGAAATCGATGGAGGCTGACGTACACACAAGGCTGCCGATGGAGCACTGTGTCTGGAACCATTATGGGCTTCAATCAGCAAAACACTGTTCTATGAATTA